TCATAAAGGATATGGATGAAGAAGGGTCTTGATGGCGAGGGTCCTCAACGGGTTGAATGGACTCAGCAGGTAACAAGACGAGTCAGCACTAAACCTGTTAATGATGTTTCCTTTACTGAGAACCATGAAGGTCTGCAGAGAGACAGGTGAGGGACAGACAGGTGAGAGACAGACGGGTGAGAGACAGACGGGTGAGGGACAGATAGGTGAGAGACAGACGGGTGAGGGACAGATAGGTGAGAGACAGACGGGTGAGAGACAGACGGGTGAGGGACAGATAGGTGAGAGACAGACAGGTGAAGGACAGACAAGTAAGAGACAGAGAGATGGATGAGAGACAGACAAATAAGGGACAGAAAGGAGGTGAGGGACAGACAGATCAGAGATAGATGAGTCAAGACCTTTTTTGTGACTAGCAGGATTTTGAATTCTGGATTTAACAGGGAAACAATAAAGATGAAAGTATAAAAGTCAAATCAAAGTAAAAATGCACCAAGACGGAGTCATAATGAAGGGTATGCAGTGCTGAATACATAATTTTAAGAAAGTATTTAAAAGTGAAGAGACGGTTTGTGGTCTGGAGATCTGGTGGAAGTGTGGCCAAAGTCTCAGGACAGAACAACTAAAGGCTCTGAGTCCCATGGTAGTCAGACGAGCAGGTGGAACAGACAGAAGGGAAGCTGAAGAAGAGCAGAGTGTACGAGGGGGTGAGTATGTGTGGAGAAGATCAGATAAATATGGAGCGAGGTTATGAAGGGCTTTGAAAGTAAGAAGCAGGATCTTGAAATTGGCACGGAGGTGAACCCGGAGCCAATGGAGCTGTTTAAGAACAGCTGTTATATGTTCAGTGCATCTAGTTCTGGATACAATACGAGCAGCTGTAATTTGAACTAAATGCAATTTATGGAGGTGGAACATAGAGAAGAGAATTAAAGTAATCTGAAAGAGATGTGAAAAGAGCATTGACAAGTATGACGGTACTGTTTGGAGTGAGTGAGGGATGAAGGCGTTTAATATTACGGAGATGAAAATATTATATGTGCTGTGAAGGAAAGAGTGCTATCGAGGATGACACCAAGACTCTTAACCTGAGGGGAGGGTGTGACAAAACAGTTATTAATGGATAATGAAAGACATCTGGTTGGAACTTTAGTCAGTTTTGATTTGGTGCCTATTAGAATTAATTCTGTTTTATTGCCATTAATTAATAAAAAAAATTTCTTTTTTGCCTGTCCCGTTTGGCTCTTTTGCATCAAAATTGTTGTCTAAAGGTGAAGAAAGATGCCCAACGGATTTACTTTACCAAATTGACCATCCCAGCCTTGCCGTAATGGTCTATTTGATTCACCTTTCATTGTTTATTTTATTTTTTATTTTCACTTGCTAGATACGGGACAGACTTGAATGAGGAAAAGAAAAGGGAGAAAGGAAGAGGGAAAGAAAAACAGCGGACAAGAGGGACGGGGATAAAGGGCAAAAAAACAAAAAACAACTAAATAAGCAGACAAAAAATACATATATCAACCACGTGGATCACCTGTTGAGAAAGAAAAAGAAAACAAGAAAACGAGAGCAATACAACAAACAACATCACGATGATCTATGTGAATATGACAGTAAATACTAAATATTAAACATTATTGTGCAGCACATAAGATCAACAGCGCACAGTGTGCTTTGAGTTAGGAGCCAAAAAGGGTTTGGGTGTGATCACCCGTGTGTACACCTGTGAGCATGGACGCGCTTGTTTTTTTAAAAGGTTCCTTCATGTAATGATCTGCTAGAGGGTGTGTGAGAGATACAAGGTCAACTAGGCGAGTGCTGTACCACTGATCCTAACAGATGTTAATCTATAAAGAAGGATGCGGTGGGAAATAGTATCAAAAGCTACTGCAAGGTAAATGGCCTGCATTTGTATAGCGCTTTTCTAGTCCATAGGACCCCAAAGCACTTTACACTACATTCAGTCATCCACCCATTCACACACTGGTGATGGCAGCTACATTGTAGCCACAGCTGCCCTGGGGCGCACTGACAGAGGCGAGGCTGCCGGACACAGGCGCCACCGGGCCCTCTGACCACCACCAGTAGGCAAACACGGGGTTAGTATCTTGCCCAAGGATATTTGGCATGCAGCCAGGATGCAGCCTGGGATCGAACCACCGACCTTCTGATTAGTGGCTGACCTGCTCTGCCACCTGAGCTACAGCCACCTACAGGTCAAGGAGAATGAGGATGGAGATGAGTCCAGAGTCAGCTGCAAGCAGAAGATCAGTAGGGATTTTTACTAGAGCTGTTCCTGTACTATGAAAAGAACGGACGCCGGACTGAAACAAGTAATTTCCAGTGAGGTGTCTATGAATCTGTGCAGCCACTATCATTTCATGAATTTTGACTAGGAAAGGCAAATTTGAAATGGACGTTATTTAAATGGGAAGGGTCTGAAGCATTCTTTTTCTTTTTACAGTAGTCCAGCCTAGAAGTAATAAATGCAGGAACTAGTTTTTCACTCAGGATGTTTCTAAATTTAGAGACATAGCAAAAATGCAAGAAAGCAGTCCTACATAGTTGTTTAATATGTGCACTGAAGGACAAAATTTGATTTGTATCATCTGGCTTCATGAATAAATAAAGGTGCGTATCAGCTGCATAGCAGTGAAAACGGATGCAGTTTTTTACTAAGATTATCTAAAGGAAGCATTTATAATGTAGATAAAATTGGTTCCAGCACAGAAGCCAGTGGAAGTCCACGAAAAACTTATATGTGTGAAGAAGGCTCCAAGTTTACATGAACAAACTATTGTTTGACACAGATATGTTTCAAACCACTCCAGTGCAGTACCTTTAATGTGTTCTAATCTCTGTAGTAAAATATTGTGCTCAGCAGTATTGAATGGTGCAATGAGATCTGACAGGACAAGCACAGAGATGAGTCCACTGTTAGAGGCAATAAGAAGATCATTTGTAACCTTCACTATTCTTTTTCTGTGCTGTGATGCACTCCAGATCCTGATTGAAACTCTTATAATAAATCATTACTCTGAATGGGTCGACTAGGCACATTGACGAGCTAAAAATCATTGATGTTAACCTAAAACGATCAGACAGAGACATGAAGATCACAAAACTCTCATACAAAGTTGGAGAATTCAGAAACCCAGAGTAAGGCCCAGGAGGACAACAGACAACAACAATAAAATAAGTTTTTGAGTTTTCCAGCTAGGGTGGACATGACTGGTCACAGAGAGAAGGTCAGAGGGAGACGGGTCCAAGAAAGACAGAGAAAGACAGGTCAGATGGACAGACACATCAGAGAGACCAGGGGATCAGAGACCTTCTGTGATTGGTAGAAGGGATCCAGATCCTCCAATGGGGTGCAGAGAAGCTGAGGGGGGGGGGCACCATAGATGAAAGGGAGGGACTTCCCAGTCTCCAGGTGACGAGCAGGTTTGGTCAGGTTTTTCTCACTTGCCTGAGTTACACAGAAGAGCTTCCCCTCATGCAACTTATCAGCAGTATTAATTTTACTGATTGATTATCTATCACTGATTCCTGAAAGTTGATCGGTACCTTTTGGTGCTTCCACGCCTTTCGCTCCTTTACCTCAGCTTCGTGTCGTTGTTGGACCACCTCCTTTGAGACTGCTGTGAAGCATCTGAAAACCTCCATACCTACAGGTGGCAGCAGAGACGCCATTCTCTCATCCTGGAGAAGTGGTCGAACCTCGCTGTTGCCTAGCAACAGGTTTCTGTAGGGAAGAGAGGTTTTGGTTAGGTTTCCTTGAAGCCACTTACAGAGGTGCAGCTGTCTGTAGGGCTGTTATTAATCATTATCAGATTTCTCAGTGTTATTCGGTTCAATTTTATTTAAATAACACCAATTCTGTCACGGTCTGGCTGGCAGACCGTGGGGATGTGGGGAATGAGGACCCAAAACGCAGGTTTCTGCGATGCAAACAGTGCACTTTATTTACAGTGAAAGCTGTAAACACAATAAATCCCCGTTGCTCCCTTGGCTCCTGTGTGTGTGCTCCCCTCCGACGTCTGTGCTCGTGCTCCCCGCTGTCGTGCTTCCGCACACCCGTGCGTGCTGCCTTTCTGGTCCACTCTTCCACCTGCAGGAAAACCACAGAAACAGCCGTCAACACTGACCCCCACGGGCATATACGAACTGCGCTCTTATACACTGCCACACACTAACTTGGGATGACAACGCAATGATCCCGCGTCGGTGAGAGCTCCAACACTCTCCTAAGTAGCTCCCCTGACGAGGCCTGCAGGTGGCTGTCCTCCATCCTCCAGACACACACACATGTACACACCCACACCCTGCCTATACATATAATGAGTGGAACACAGAATAACACAGCAT